ATTCTGAGCAGCGAACAGTGGGGCACAAAATTGGGGCGGGGAGGAGGGGGCACACCAAATCCGCCCGCGCCCGCCCGCGATAGCCCAGCTGCACGTACGGAGATACAGCTAAACACAGTGCTCGGTGTGGGTTCAGTCCGGACGGCGGCCAGGGCTAGATGTCTCCAGCCCTTGAAGATGCCGCAGTGCCGCCGTCAGTAACACACCGCTGCGATGGGGCTAATTAGTTTGGTGGAATGCAGCGAGGGATGGTATTGATCAGGAGATGGAACAAATGCTCGCTGCCCCGCTGTGGAGATGATTACTAGTAGAGTGGAGCTTTGCAAGCGGCGCTCTAGAGTCCGCGTGTGGCGGAGCGATGAACGAGCTGCCGGCGGGAGGAAGCGAATGCGGTTAGTAGTGGGCTTCAACGTTGGCGGGCATGGCTTGGTCGTCTTCTTCTTCTTCTTTCTTGATCATCCTTTACAGAATAGTCCATCAACCTCCACCTCCTCTTTCTTCTGTGTGTGGTCTCCTCTCGACTCGTCGCCGTGCCCTTCAATTCTCGCCGCCTTGTCTCCGATCCCCTTCCCACAGGTACTAGTCCATGCAGTCGACTGCAGTCCGCCCGACGGCCCAAGCCCTCCGCAGGACAGACCAGTCGTGCCCACGCCACTGGACGAATTAACTTGCTGGTACCAGTCCTGTCCACGCCACTGGACGGACGAAAATGCTGATACCAGTACTGTCCCCGCCACTGGACGGATGAACACGCTGGTACCAGTCCGTCCATGGCTTCGGACGAACGGACAGAGCCATCAAGCGCCCCGCCGGAACCAAGAGCCGGAAAGTCAGCATGCACGGCCGCGATCTAGGCGTACATACGAGCCAACGTCGAATATCGAGCGATAACCACGCTCTGATCAGCATCGGTTCACCCGTCGGAACCACTGCCAAGCTCTGCCGTCAAGCATGTTACCGGGTATGTACATACATCCAGCATGGCAGGTGACCCGGGAACTAAATAGACCCGGTTGCGGGAGAGAGAAAGACACGGGAAGTGGGTGATCCATGTCTAGTACGTACCTACGCATCCGCGAAGAAACACACACCCTTACTATAGTTAGCTGCCGGCCGGCGAAAACGTATCCCCTGGATCGTCCGAGACACCGTTCCAACGCTCTCGCCGGTTCTCCACTTCGAGACCAAGGGCCCGCAGTGTTTAATAGAGAGGTATTCCGCCGGCGTCGCATGCGAGTATCCTGAATGAGGCTACCAACATCCAGCCAAGTGAGACAGCCGATCGAGTTTTCGAATCCTCGAGGCACTACTACCTATAGGTACGTAGCGGGGTCACCGTTTCACGGATTCCTCAGCTTTCCGACCATCGTGTCTTCTGTCGCAACGCTGTCGATGTTGGTTGGCCACCGGTAACTGCCACTGTCGTCTCAACACATCCGTGCAAATATCTCTGTGGAAAAGGAATTCTCCAGACCCCCTTGAAACCCCCGCAGACAAAAGACAACAGCTCCTCTGGAGACTGGTGAGGAGTCGTTGGTTCGCCTAGGCGGGCGTTTGTCATCCATACATGCTGCAAGCTGAATGCTCATGAGGGTTGACTCGTATCGGGACGCCTAAACAGCAATCAACAGCGGTCGTATTTCAAATCAAACTGGGTTGGAGAATGCACACCGATCGCATTTTCCCTTTGCAGTTTCGACATGTCCCCTTTCCCATTCTCCGTGAACGTCTGCTCCTCGATGAACAGAAGGAGAAGGGGGAGATTATGCACCATCTTTCTTTTCTTTTCTTTGCCATCCCAGCTCCATGGGTGCTACTTATGATATGTATTTCGGATACGTCGCAACGAACGTTCGGCGGCCGCCGCCACTCCTTCAAGCCCGCACCTCCATAGCGGGCGGGGGGCGTGCTGCAATCCTAGTCAGTACAGATTGGTCGCCAGTGCACTCAATCAGAATCCCCCTTTGAGCTCCTTTGTACTGGAGAACTGTGTCACCGAGCAAGCGGTCAGAGCCTCAGGGGGCCATTGAGGATCTGAGAATGGCCGACCGACGGAAGGAGCCAAGTACATAAGGTGATGGGATCGGATTGGATCGTCTGGAAGCTCACTGCTGATGGAAAGGTATGTAGAGTACATACAGAGTGGGATGGCAACGTTCCCGAGCTCTCGACTGCAGCTGCGACTTTCAGCCCTCCCGTCCAGATCGGTGTCATTCAGACTCCATGCAGGTGCATACGTACATCCATACTCACATATGTACAGGTACCTTAAAGAGCGCCGGTATCGCTCTCGATCGGTTGTCACAGTACTGCAATGGACGCCTGTCCATCGTATGCATCTCTATAACCAACGATTCTCTCGGTACGTTACCACGCCTCCCTTATGTAATCCCACCTGCATCGGTTGAGCCGAATGATAACTTGTATACGCAGACATCACGCATCACACCTTCGGCACCAAAATCGGCATGATGCGATACGTGCGTTCGGTGCTGCTTGGCGTGCGCACACCAGCCTCTTCCCACCTGGATGCAACCGATGGGGAGGGGGGATTTTAACGACGGGATCGCTGTTTCGAGTTTTGTTTCCGCATTGAATTTGGGATGTTTTCCTGACATGAATTCTGCAAACGGAGCGGGGATGCGATGATTCGGAAATCCTTTGTATTGGTGCCCACACGCCCACGGGGGCTATATGCAGTACTCGCGGCGTCGAAAGTCCATCCACTCCCTCTCCGCTGCAATCCGTAGCTCAGCTGCCGTTTGTAGCTCAGCTGCCGTTCTATTGGCCGGGACAGCGGCTGAGCCACCGATTGCCAATGGACAGAGGGGAAAGGCCATTCGGCATCACGAACAGCTGGTTGGTACAGGCTGATATCGATGGTTAGTCCGCTCTGCTCTTCTCTACTTTGCCCTTCTCTACTCTAATCTGCTCTGCTCTAGGAACCAACATGTTGTGCATGCCTGTCGTGATTTTCACTCCACACAGACAGACAGACAGACACCCACAACACATCGATTCTTGTCGATATTCACCCACGAAAACATCAGGGCCACTACACCATCAGAAACTCCCTTCTGATGCTATCGATGTTGAACCCCCGTGATCGATAGGAGATGACGCCGCGCGACTTATGCGTTCCTTCTATTGGTGCCACGTATTCGAAATCGATGCAGCTCGCTCGCTCGCTCGAGCCTGTGGGTGCGTGTGTAGGTATGTATGTATGTACTCACATATGTATATCCCCGCGCTCGTATGGTTCACTTTCTTTTTTCCCTTCGTATGCACGATAGAGTTGTCTCTTGGGTAGCACGGGGCTCCCGGTTTTTCGTCGACGGAATCGTTGGCGACGTCGTTGGTTTGGGTAAGTTCACCCGACGAGTCGACGACGAGATACCGAGAGTACAGTATTCCCCCGCCGGACCTCGTGTTATCGGCCATCATTCTAAGCTGCCATGCCCCATCCCCTCCCCCCTCCTTCCCCCTCCAAGCCCGCGTCGTCGGCGGATGCCATGCCAAGCATCCCTACCTACCAACCACTGACTAACGCACCCTTGCTACCGCTGATCGATTTCACCTATCAGCCTTACGCCGAGCCGAATGCGCAGTCATTAGTTAGTACCCCAGAAATCCCTGGTCCCCTGGTCCGCACGAGGGGCATGACTCAGTGCTAACTGCTCACCCCCCCCCCCCCCCCCCCGCAATTTGCATGTGTGCGAGAATTCGCCGACGTGGACGTGGACTCGATCGAAGCGGTGACGGACCATGGTCCCAAGAGCTCAACGGCGGGCGGGCCTGGGAAACACGAAACGGGTTACAGGAAACAGGGCGGGCGTCGTCGGGATACGGTTTGAATAAAGTAGAGTACCTACTAAATACTTACTAACTAGTAGCGTAGGGTAGGATTCGTGAACCCGGAGATGGTATGTAGTCTACATATCAAGCGATTTAATCACGCATGTAGGTACCGGTGAAGTAGAGTGCTGAGTGCAGACTCCACAGTAAGCATGGATACCGGTACATGCTTTAGATAGAGTGGGAGATCGACGAAACTAGAGTAATGTGCCCGTTTCTTACGTACATTATTCTTTCCAGAATCTTACCAGCCCTCCCCCTCCACCACCCCCGCCTCGCCGCCGGTCGGTACATAGCGAAGCTCACGCCACCAGAAATACACCTGGGTACATACATCGTAAGGAAAGGAAAGGAAAGGAATTAGACACTTAGCTAACGACTAGTGGAAGCAAAAAACAAACCCCCCCAAAACCCAAACACCTCGCAAAGAAAAAGCCCATGATACATAGAAAAGAAACGATAAGGAACGTAAGGAGCGAGTGACGAGTCCTCCCCCAGACCAAACCCAGGAATAATAACAAGAAAAGAAAAGAAAAGAATAGAAAAGAAAAGAAAAAGAAAGACCGCAGTAGTTAACCCCCCAACCGTGAGTACTACCGGTAGAATATAAGTCCTATGTACCGTCCACGGCCTCGAAGAGTCGAAGCCCCGTCAACCACCCCCGTTCTCGCAGTCCATGATCGTATCGCAAGTGCGTAACCGGTGCCGTGATCACTTCTCCTCGCTGTGAGCGTGAAGCCTCCGATCGCTGCGGCTCAGGAGCTGCCGCCATCCCTTGAACAGCCACTGTCCGCTATGCCGGCCGACTCGTGTCGCCTGCGACGACTGTGTTGCGCCCGTGTCGTAATGCTTGATGCCGGGGGTAGGGTCGCGGTCCGAGAAGGTGGCACCCCGGAGCGGTGGGGGGTACTGGGCGGTGGAGGATCCCATATTTAAGCTGGCCGCTGGGAGAGAAGGAGCTGGAGGCAGATGTGGAGGAGGTGGTGGAGGTGGGAGGAAGATGTCTGGTCTGTGGTTTGTTTTTTGACAATTCGTTCTCGAGCCGTGTGTGTGCGTGTGTGCGTAAGTGTGCGTGTGCGTGAGCATAAAATGGCAGTGGGAATGTACGACGGAAGGGGGAGGGGCGGGTGGGCAGAGATAAATACCCGCGAGCTTTTCGCTGAGGATTGCGCGCATACTCGCATGGGGAGGGGAGGGAAGGGAGGGAGTACCTACGCAGACACGAGTACGTACATCCTCTCCACCACCACCACCATCACCACCACCACTGCTGAATTGATACTGCTATCATACAACCACTACCGTATGATTCGCAAGGCGAACAGCTCTGTACAGATGATCGATACGATGAGGTGGTGGTACGCATTCGTTGGTTGGTGTCCACGCCCAGCACTGCTGCAGGCTGCAGCTGCATATGCAGGTTGATGTAACTACCGCATTGGCTTCTGCCTAGAGGTTCAACTTTAGCGTATGAGAGAATGCAAAGTGCGCACTCACGATTTACCAAGCACTCAGCGGCCGCGTCGTCGGGGTCCCATGATGAACGATGAAGCTGTGCAGACTTGGTTGTGGCTCGGCGGGTGCGTGCATGGGCGGGTTTCCATGTCGAGTCGAACAGAACAGAACTCGCACCCGGAACTACTAGGTATGATAGTAGTTATGATGGCCGCCGTTTTCCCGGGACCCTCTGTTGGGCCTAAACTCTGGATCTTCATATCTTCATCTTATCTGGATCATCTGTGTGGCCCCAGCGACATTCTGAATACCACCTGAGTACGTTCAATTCGAGTAGGTCGGCTTCGAATTGCCGCCGAAGTCGAGTCGGGCCGAAAGTCGAGGGAGCCAGCAATCGACTATTCCCGGAGTGTCGTGGTTGCACCTCGCATAGCATATCACTCGGTACTCGATTTGCCAAGCGCGATCGAAGGGGGTATTCCGGTCACTGGCGCATGCGCACCTGAGGCGCATGCGCACCTGAGGCGCATGCGCACCTGAGGCGCGATATCACTGGGAAGTGGTCTCACACGGCTATGTAACAGCTCAGGACCCTGGCACGTCTTGATCGGCCTTCACCCCAAGGAGATCGGCAACTGTTTCAGTGACATCCGCTAAGGGTGTGTCCGGTCTTCGGTTGTAGCCTAGACGTGCTGAGAGATGCCGCCGGCCATCTTGCTAGCGATCTCCACGTGGCTAGGCATTCCCAGTGGATCTAGATCCGCGTCTTTTCGCGTGCGATATTCAACCTGCGACCTGCGGCCTGCAGGAGATGAGTGTGGTTGGCTTTTTTGTTTTTTGTTCGGTCATCAGTGCGTTCGACCTTGGTATGCATAGATCATGCCAGATAAAAGGTGCCTATCCGTTTCCACCCCGCTGTCACGCGGACTGCTGGCCACGAGCTGGATAGGGTTGTTTTATTGCGCTCCGTTCAGCCTTTCCCACTCAACGCCGGCAGGAAAGAGAGAAAGAAAAGATGAATTAGTGAATGAGTGAAGGTACTCGTTAATACAGCTCAGTGTTCGACATAGTCCGGATCGGACGGACTGCCAAGATACAGTCCAGTCCAGTCCAGTTCAAGGTTCACGACGGACGGGTCAGACTATGTCGAACACTGGCTAGTTGTGCTGAGGGAAGCCACTGACCATCTTGCTGGCGATCTCCGCGTGGCTGGGCACCCAAGGGAACTAGATCCGCGCCCTTTTCGCTTGGGATATTCGACTTGCGGCCTGGAGAAGATGCATGTCGTTAGCTTTTTTTTCTGTTCGGTCATCATCGCATTTGACCTTGGTATGCAGAGATCATGCCAGATACATATCCGTTTCCAGCCCGCTGGTCACGAGCTTGATATGGGCTTGATACGGGTTTTTTATTGCTCGCCTTCAGCCCTCCCCACTCAACACCGGCAAGAAAGAGAGAACGGAAGAAAGAATGAATGAGGGAAGGTATTCGTCAATCCAGCTTTAGTCCAGTCCAATATCCTGTGGACTCGACCTAGAAATTCAGTGTGGTGAAGTGATAGAGGTTTCGGTGGCGAGAGAAGGAAGTGATGGAGGAGCTGTCGGCAGTGAGAGGAAACGAATGTAGTTAGTGTGGATCATGCCATGGGCAGCCAGCGGGGAGGGAGCGAACTTGAGAGGTCTTCTCGCTCTCACTCACACTATCTCGCTCTCACTCACACTATCTCTCTCTCATCATCATCTACAGAATAGACGACCAACCTCTACCTTCTCTTTCTCCTCGTCTGTTCTCCTTCTCTCGGCCCGCCGCTTTCCGGCCTGGAGAGGCATTGGCGAAAGAGCCCTCGAAAAACCAGTTCCTCGTTCCTGCCGCCTGTGTTTTTCCAGGTCAACCTGACCCGCTTCCCCCTTTCGTCCTTTATCTTCTTCCTCGCCGTGGTTCTCCCGCTCTCCCGGTCCATTGCCGATGGGTCCGATGTCTGGGCGAGCAGGAAGCAGGCCGAGTGGATTCGGGGAGGACGAGGGGTAGGGTATTTCTCTCTCAGCTCTTGCTTTTCTTTTTCTTTTCTTCTTCCGCCCTCGCCACGCTTTCCGCCGCCGCAATTTCTGCCCCTACCCTTGTGTGTCGTTGGAAATTGTTTTGTTTATTCATCATTGCATTAGATCTTACATAGTAGGACATGGCAGGTTATATATCCTTTTCCACCCTGCTTTCCCGGACCGCTGGCTGCGAGCTCGATACCGGTTCCCTATTGCTTTCCACCTAGCCCTCCCTGGGTGTCGTTGGCTTGCTTTTGTGCATGTGTTCTCTTAGGTCGACACGTTGAGAATGACTGATTTTCTGTGATTGAGTGGCACGTCTTTCTCTGGCATCAGCCTCCTGCCCGTGCACATGAGTTACTGCATACATCTAATACTCCTCAGCCTCCCACCGAAACCGGACGGGGAATAGCGCCACAAAGTCGAGACCCCTGGCCGGCTGTCTGTGACTTTGTGGCGGCTGCGAGTCAAGCTGAACAGACAAGGCATACACCCCAGAAATCAAGAGCCAGTAAGGAACACCCGCATGAAGTGACCGAATCAGGATGAGTTGGACGAGCCGTGGAGACCACCCGATGTTTCTTTTGGGCCAGAGCAGGAATTATTCTCTCCCGACGTGTTAAAGCTTGACAGGTGGGTGGGCGAGACTCGGGACTAATGGTACATACCTATGTAGAAGAGGAACGTGAGAACAGCACAATGATTGCCATCTCTGAATGCACATGTGGTGAGGATGCGGCGCTAATGTCTTTGGAACGTGATAGGGCCGGTTTCCTGTTGCGAAGCGCAAGGCCTCATCCCCGGCCGACATCCAGGTGATGGTGGACGGTCGGCGGTCGTCTCCCTTCCGTCCAGATAACTCGAAAGCACAAGGTCATTGGATATGTGCCGATAGTACTAGGCAAACGCCATAAGCATGGAGTTCTTGGCGGTAGGGCAAAGGGAGGCCGGGTGCAGGATTGATGTCTGTTTCTCGAGGTGAAGCGGGTGGTATTCGTAGGGCACCGCCTACCCATATCGGCGGAACCTGTGCCTACGCTGTTCTTCTTCTAAAATGCTCGTTACTGAGCCCGCTCACGGAACATTTAGGCTTTAGCCGGCGAGGCCTGGGGAGTTGGTGTAGTCGGATCTGTTTCCGCTGCTGTTTTTATGTCGCTATCGCCGGAGACGCTGTGAGAACTGTGTATCGCCATGCGGCTCCAGCGGTGCGTCTGGGGAATTTTCAAGCATCCGGTCATAGGTATCTAGCCTTGAAGAAGAGCTGAGATACTGCAAGGATACGCCTGTGGCTGTATCCGTGTATCCCGCAACGTGTCTACCAAAGCGATGGGAAATGTACCCACTAGTCGACTGATTGCTGCTCACGGGCCGCCAAGGAAGACCCGTTTTTCGGAAATGCAATCAGGAACGTTGTGGTTGGCGTTGCTGCCTAGATGGTTGAGTTAGAGTGTTGCGGCAACTATGGTAGCTTCACTTTCGATGTTTTGCTTTTTGTTTTTTGCTTTTTGATTTCCGCCCTTTGACTTATGTTTGGCTGGGTACTCGATCACTTTCGACCGCCGTGCGTGTAGTTAGTGTCGTCACCGCGGTATTTACCAACGAAGCTTGTTCGTTCTTGGTACCTGGGTATCCGTCACTACCTCGATTCTATTGCGTCTAGATTTCAGGTGCCTTGAGTTTGTCATGCAATTCTTCCATTTAGGTACCTGGTTGCTTGGGTATTTGTTGATGCTAAATAGAGCACGGCGAAGCTCAGCGGCTGCAAGCGTAGCCCCAGCCACAGATCGAGGACACCGACGAACTTACTTGTCGGATGTAGAGTACTTACTTCATATCTCAATTATTTGTTGTTTCGGACGTTCGGAGATGCTCAGTATCGGTAACTAGGCTAAGAACCAAATTTAAGCGACGCGGCGGATTATATGTTCCAGCGGCGCCGACAGAACACGCTTGATCAACGTTGTCGGAGGTTGTTGTTTGGCGAGTTTAAGCGATCGGGGGGTTCATTCATCCGCTGTCCAGACGAAAAGACGGGTTCTCACTTGCTCGGCTATTTCCGACCGGCTTTCTGGACAGAGAGCGGGGTAACGCGAATTCCTTGGGCACCGCCTAGGTATCTCCGGGTATGTCCAGCCTGCGTTCTAATACCTATCGATGCCACACATTTTACACCGGAGTTCCGTCCAGAATTCATCCTATTTTTACTTTTTTTTAGGACTTAGACGCCGCTTGACGGCCAGTCGAACGGCCCGATTCGTGGGGGAGTCACAGATAATTGGTGATAACTTCTCCCGCTAGAAGCGTCGGCCAATCAGTGGACGAAATCCCGTGACGTGGTTTCAGCTGAGCTCAGTTTTTAGTACTTCTACTCGTGGCGCTTTCGTGTGGGCGGCGAGCGTGCCGATGTATCGGCTTTCAAGTTGGACCGCCGGAATCCATTGTGACTGGCTCCAAGGACTTCCACGGACTGTAGGGCTGAATATCGTCCCGGACGGGTGAATTAACGCCTGTTCGATGCCCAGGACACACATGTGGATGGACGATAACGACTCCACGTATGGATGTCCCTTCCACTCGGGACAGCACAGCAGAAATCTTGGAAGGAAAAAAAAAGAAAGCCAAATATGAAGTTCAGCCAGAGCCTAGAAGGCGCAGCCTTTCCCTCCAACTAAGTCTAAACACTTAAATATCTGCCCTCCCGTCACGGATCGAAGCGGCAGACCATCAGACAACGCAATGGCTTCAATTAAAGAACCCAAGGAGAAACCGAGCATCGATTCGACAAACACTACAACTTCTAGATCCGCCGGTTCCACCGAAGACCTCCCCATCGAAGAATGGAAGCCCACAAAAGAGCTATATGTCATATTCCTGACATTATGTATCGTGAGTGCAACCTTCCCCCAACCGCGGTGGATGGAGATGTTCGGATGGCTCGATTCCTTCGGACCTGACCATATTTTCCTGGAGTTAGATAACACTCGCTGCTGCTCTTGATGCCACTTCGATTTCGGTCGCCCTTCCCATCATTGCCGAGAAGCTGCATGGCTCCGCCGTCGAAGCCTTTTGGGCTGGAACATCGTTCCTTCTCTGTTCGACCGTGTTCCAGCCCGCATACGGAAGCTTTTCAAACATATTTGGACGGAAACCTTTACTCCTAGTCGCAATTGTGATTTTCACTGCTGGATCGCTGGCTGGCGCCCTGGCCAACAACTTCACGGTCCTCTTGATCGGTCGATCGCTACAAGGAGTTGGCGCTGGAGGAATCATTGCTCTCACGGAGATCATATTGACTGACATAGTATGTTGTTCCTGTCTCTGTTTTTTTGTGGTCCACCGTTAAGACCCGACCCGAACAGATACCTCTTCGCCTTCGCGGACAATATTTCGGGATCTATTCGAGCATGTGGGCACTCGGCAGCGTGTGCGGGCCCATCCTTGGCGGCGGCTTCGCGCAAAACGTCAGTTGGCGATGGATCCTCTACATCAACCTACCCTTCTGTGTCATCGCCTTCGTCTTCGTGCCGATCTTCTTGAAACTGAACCAGAAAATCGACACGGTGTGGGTCAAGCTTGCGCGTGTGGATTGGATCGGCACGGTCATGTTCATTGCTAGTGTCACGGCCATTCTCATTCCCATCTCGTGGGGAGGTGTCATGTATCCGTGGGATCACTGGAGGGTCTTGGTACCGCTAGTGGTCGGATTTGCCAGCCTGACTGGCTTCGTGCTGTGGGAGATCTATGGAGCGCAGGAGCCGCTGATCGCGCTGGACATCTTCATGAACCGCACTGCAGCCGGTTAGATTTTCCTCTGCTTTCTTCATCCGACTCGGACATTGAGGCGCTGACAATTCGGACAGTAACCTTCTTCGGTACAGTAATGCACGGTATCGTGGTACGTTTCATGAAATCAAAAAAACTTCCCCCTTCCTCAGCTATACCTAACTAGAAACATAGCTTTGGTCGATGCTTTACTATCTTCCCCTCTACTTCGAAGCCGTCAAGGAAATGGGCCCGATTATGGCCGGTGTTGCCATCTTCCCACAAACATTTACGGTCGCACCGGCATCTATCGTCGTCGGTATCCTCACCACGGTAACTGGACGGTTCCGCTGGGCAGTCTGGACTGGCTGGGTCCTAATGACCACCGGGATGGGCCTGATGTACTTGCTTGATGTCGACACGTCGACCGTCAAGTGGGTGTTCCTCAACCTAGTTGCTGGTCTCGGCGCGGGTATGCTCTTTCCCAGCATGGCGTCGGCAGTCCAGGTACGTACATATTATCCCGCTAGTACATAAATCGATATCCAATGGACTAACAACTCCTCCTTCTCCTCCACAGGCCTCAGCTTCGAATGAAAACATGGCCATCGCTGTGGCGGTTTTCTCCTTCCTTCGGACCTTCGGCCAATCTTTCGGTGTGGCGATTGGTGGCGTGATTTTCCAGAACGCCCTGATCGACGAGTTCAGCAAGTACCCGGGCCTGGACGCCGTGGCCGGCGATTACGCAAAGGATGCGGTGGCCCTCGTTCAGCTGATCAAGAGGATGCCGGATTCTCCGACCCGGCAAGCCTTGATGCAGTCGTATGCAGACTCGCTCAAGATGGTGTGGCTGGCTATGGCGGTGTTTTCCGCAGCGGGATTGATTGCCAGTGTCGCCACGGAGGGGCTGAGCTTGGACCGTGTGCTGACGTCGGACCAAGGCATTCGGAACAAGAAAAAGCCAGTGACTGTGGTTGATGCATGAACGCCATGGTGGCTTTGCTTTTCAGCGGGGTGAGGGAAATTGGAACATGATGGACGGGTACTTAGGTACTAGGCATATAGGGTGTAATTCCGGTTTGCTCTCATAGTCATAGATATCTCGTTTTCAGAACTTGTTTTTATCTTTCTTTTATTTAGAATATGTCAGTCATGAAAATCTGACTCACTACAATATAATAGCCATGAGCGATACATTTTGCGTGTGGATTCTACATGTCCTGTCCAGTGTTCCCATCTTCACGGAAAACCGACAGCGAAGAACTCTCCAAAGCAAAACAGCCAAGGAGTTGCTCTTGCCTTAAGTTGTCATTGCATCACACAGGTGGTCGGCGGTCCATGGCTTTGACCTACCTAGGCGGTGACAGGTAGCCAGAAGCACTGGCGGCTACAAGACCAGCAGCATGGTAAGTAGTCGTCTCGGTCCCAGTACCAGTACCAGCGTGCTGGGAACCACAAAGCAGCATATCCAACCTCAAGCCATTTCTTAGGCAACAACATCTGCACCTCCTCCTTCCCCTAACGTTAGCCCCAGCCCCTAATTCGCTCGCTGTCCCCACCTCTAGGCACTCGCCACCATCTACATACGGTACGTCGGTACAGCCCTAACAAGTTCCAAACCGTTCGATCCGCATGGTCACCCGCCCATGATCATTGGGTCCCATTGCTACATATGATAGTATTGGTGCCGCGCCACCACCATCGATGCGTTGTGCGGGGGGTAGGTCCTGCGTTACAGCGCTAAAGTCTTTTGGGCACAGTAAATAAAAAAAAAAAAAAAAAAAAACTACAGCGCCACAGTGCTCAGGGGATATCCGCTCAGGGGGGGCATCCTTCTGCAGACGCGTTACCATCACCAAACATTCACCACGTGCACACCTTCCACGACGGACAGCACATTGTTTCCGCAACGAATCATCCGCTGGTAAGCTCACTGTCCTTCGCTGTCTGACTGACAGCTCCTGCTCTTTGGCAATTTCCTCGCCGTGGATACCACAGTTTCGCGTCGCGGATACCAGTTTTGTCGCAGCGGATAGGTACCACAGTGTCTTTGCCGGCTCACCGCGAATACCATTGTTCAGAAAGATTTCTCTATCCTCGATTCAAAGAAAGTACTCCGTTGGAGAATAGATTTTGTGTTGCCATCGCGGGTTGAGATTCTACAGAAATAAGGACACTTGACACAACTGACTCCACCCACAAAATGAACAAGTGGAAGAATTGTAATAGTTTTATTTGCCGAGTGTTTTGTCTCTTGATTTCCTGTCGCGACATTTCACTGATCGCGCCCGGGTGATGATGCCTATACTTTTATTCCAGTTCACTGAGCCCGCTGAGCGATGTGGTTGTCTAAATACTTCATTTTCCAGTTCATTGAGAAAACCGAGTGATGGTGATGACGCAGCCTGTATGTTTCCGGTCCAGTGAGCGCGCCGAGTCAATCAGCGTTCCAAGTGATGCCATAAATTGTACGGTGGGAGTGAAGGTGTGGCAGTGCTAATTCCTTTAAGTGGTTAGTGTGCACTAGCGTTTGCAACGCAAGAGAGTATGGTTGGGGACATCTAGTCCCGGAGTGAAAGCATCCCCACTTTTGACGTTCGGTTAGTTCACAACAACCTAATTAAAAAAAATAGCTCTTTACAGCGATAGAGAAGAGGAGGCAGATAATTTTCAAAGAGCCCGATGTTTTTTAAACTTTGTGGTTGAGTGGCAACCAAAATCCAAAATAAATAGGTAGACGAAAAATAATTTAGTATGGGGAGGCCCCGGGAATCAGCGGCTGGACAGCCACAATGCCCGATTGAACAGTCTTGGCATGCCTGATTACCCCATCGGACGTCTTGGCATTACAGTATGGTGGCTAATTGCTGTGATAAAGAATATTATGTACATAAATGGAAAACAATTACCTACAAATTTGCTACAGTTTCTACTCACTTCTCACTAACCTATTGATGAGCTTTGTATATCTACGCCTTGGAAAATGGGCAAGAACTGGCCGAGAAATTATGATTTTCGGTCCCGGTGGGGCTATGGAGCGCTGAAGCTCTGAGCTCTGGGGCGGGCTGCGGAAGCGCGGTCAATGGTGACAGACCTGTGGAAGATTGGAACCGATGGAATGAGCGTGCTCGTGCGATCCAGGGGAGTGTTTTATCGAAGAAAACGCGCAAGAACTAGCGGAGATATTGTGATTTTCGGTCCCGGCGGGGCCATGGACCTGTGGAGTTGGCTGCGGACGCCCGGTCAACGGCGACAGACCGGTGCAACAGTCGAACTGATGGAACGAGAGCAACAGTTCAGTCCAGAGGAGTGTTTTATTGAAGAAAACGGGCAATAACTAGCCGCGATATTGTGATTTTCGTTCCCGGCGGGGCCAGTTGGCTGCGGACGCCTGGAGAAAAAAAAAGATTAAATAAATTTAATAAATGCTAATATATTACCGCATTTAGATTTTAATTCCCCTGATCCGAATGTCCACTTACTCCGGCACTAGATGTCCCCAACCATATGTATCCCGTTGTGCGGCACAGTCTTCAGCCCTATCATGCACGGCCGGGTATGCATAGGTACGTGCGCGAACGATAATTGATCTGGGCATGCAGGCCACTCACTGCTACCTCGGCCTCCGCCGCCCCCATACACACAGACGCAATGGAGACACGCAAGGGAGACACCGAGACGCGCAGGCGCATCCGAGGTTTATACTACCTACCGAACAAGAATCATAGTATATCACTCTTCATATATGCAACCGGACAGGTCATGATCCTTACCTGTGCACTTTTGAGTTTTACGGCAGCCGAGGCTCGAGCATCCTGGAGATTGGGCCTCACTCCGGCTAAGAAAAATTTACCGGCGTTCGGTTTCGAGGAGCTGGTTTGGGCGGGGGAATAGGTATTAGAAGGTGTGGACTGTGGACTGTGGACTGCAGACTCTGGACTGTGGAACAGACTTGAATGTTGAAAGTGACGGGCCTCCACACGTGATACTTTTGGCTACTAGTAGCTCGAGCTTCGATTTCACTGGTCGATGGGGGATGGTGTGTATGATGGTAGGCCAGGTATGTAGATGCTCGCCTCGGGTCCTGTAGTCGTAGGATAGAGGTGGTGGTGGTGGTGACATGCATTCAGTCTGGAAGGATTCAAGGAAGCCCGGTACATACCTTCTATGTAGTATGTAGGTAAAATACGTGTTGAAATGCAATGTAATGCAGGCGGTGGCCCGACACCGGACCATCCTCCCTTTCCGCATCCAACATTCCGCCCAATAATCCCTATACATCTAGCGATTTTCCCGTTGAATAGACGAAGCGGAAGTGTGAGATCATCTACACACACGCAAGCTTCCATACATTGATGCGCGGTGCTTGAGTGGCTTTCTATGAACTTGGACCCCTAGGGCTTACTACGGCTTTTATATAATTTTGTATCTATTCCTGGGAGACGACAGGACTTTGTTTGTACACTTCTAAACGTTTCCGGGGCCAAATATTTCAATTTTAATTTTCAATTCCCATTTGATGCAATCGCACAGCTCCTACCTAGGTATCCGTCACGGTAGACGGCCCATCAGCCGGACGGCAACAGTTTCTGCCCTCGCCGGGCTTATGGTGACAGTACAGACAGGCGCTTGTGGACAAGTATATAGAGGTCACGCCGTAGCGCCACTCGCAAAGGCAACAGACGAGGCGCTGTGGCTCTGGCGTCGTGGTAAGGGTTGGGATAGGCGCATGGCAGCACTTCCCGCCCCCGCCACCATCGTTCTTAGCCTTGTGGCGGCAGTAGCGGCAGGCGCTTGTGGACAAGTAGGTGACGGCCACGCTGTAGCGGCGCTTGCAGACGCAACAGACGAGGCGCTCGGGTTCGGACATTGTGGTGTGTAACTAGACTAGTTTTTTGACAAGGAGTGAAGTTGGGTCTGAGGTTTAGTTGGTGAAAGTAAGATATGGGGAGGGGAGGTCGAACTGGGGCTAGAGCTGGTTAAATAAGGAGTGGGAGGGTGCCGGCTCTCCAATGGGGCACTGCGAAGCCGTCGCGATCCATATAGGTAGATCATAGAAGGAATATCATTAATTATCACTCGGCTCAACGGTAACGTTGAATGTACAGACTGAATACCAAAGACTGTTAGCAGCTTGATAGACTGGGACACAGTAAGAGCCAGGGTGAGAAAGAGGATTCTGGATGAGCGAGCAGATGGACGACTGGCGGAGTACATAGATAACGGTACGAGTGGCAGGGACGAGGAACTAGATTTCTTTGTTGAGCTTACAGGTGGTTAGATGGGACGAAAACTAGACTGACTTCGAATACTTTCTTTCTTTCTTTCAACTTCCTTCTTTCTATCTTTCCTGCTGGTGTTGCGTTGGGATTGGGCGGGAGGGCTGGGCGGAGAGCAATGGGGAACCGGTATTGAGCTCGAGGCCGGCCAGCGGTCCGGGACAGCTAGGTGGAAAGAATATGTAATCTACCATGATCTACTAAGGTCGAATTCAATGATGATTAAACAAAAAACAAACCGGAGACTGTCACATACCGATTCGGAAGGAGGCGGGAGGGGCAAGTATCGCTTCAAGATTCGAAAACTCTCCGCAGACGAGCGGTGCAGCCAGGCCATCTTGGGCGCTCTCGCGACCACTGCTGTGGGCAGGCAGATCTCCGAGATCACTAAGGACAACACAGCAACTGAGGTCTCCGAGTGAGAGCTCAAGAAACGGGAAGAAAGGCAGGCGGAAAAGAGGCGGGGGAAGGAAGACTGTCGCCAGGTTCTCCCAGCTTAGAATCGAACGTGCCCTCACCAGCCACCATCTCCAGTGCATAGGAGACAGGTAAGGCGCCCAGTGCTGGTATTACGAACGGTCGGGCCAAAACCTAGTATTTTAGCCATACATATGTACATGATACATCTTCAATCTAACCTGAATGCCAACAGATGTTATCTAGACCGACAATTATACACCCTCGACTCCCGTCCTACCCATTCCGCATCCTCCCTCTCCCACTCCAACCTCTCCCACTCCTCTATATCCTTCATGAGAATCTCAACGCTCCCTAGCCCCTCCCCCCACTCCTCCACAACCTCTTTCAGCAACTCCCCCGCCTTCTGCACTTCTAGATCTAATGCCCTAGCTCGAACCCTAACCGCACGGGCGACACTCTTATTATCGACGTGCACACCCGAATCGCGCATCTTCCGCACAAGAGTGACGCCCCATGTGCGCTTCCTTTGGTGGAGGAAACCCCATTCGACCAGGGCCCTCAAAAGCTTAGGGCCAAACACTCGGCGGAGGGGATTGGCCTTGCTCGTGACCGGGATATTCGGGCGGCGGTAGATACCGATGAGCGCGAAGATTAGTCTTTCAAGTTCGTGGAGGCGTTGCGTCTTGCCTAAGCGTCGGAATAGTTCGCTCCAGGTATGTGGTGGGATGTTGGTTCCAGAACGATGGAGTGAGAGGAGAAGCATTATCACTGTGTCGATGTCTTTACCCGGCGGAAATATGTGTGGTCCGCTGAAGGGGTTCTTTCCGGGACGTCGAGGCCGAAGTAGTGTTTCCACCATTAGGGTGATGGAGCCCGAGGAGAGCGGGATTCCCCTGTCTTGTAAGATTTGAACAAAGCTTAAGGCAGCGCGGATTTGGTGGGTTCGGAGGAGGATTTGTAACGTCTCGTTTGGTTTAAAGTGGGGGTTCGGTTTTTGGACCGATGCGTTAGAAGATAACGTCTCAAGGTCGGCGACCTCCAGCTGTACAACGAGCCCAGCGAGCTCCAGCATACGCGTTGTATCTTTCATACCACGGTCAAGCGCTCCCATCGCTTTCCACAGTGTCGCCACGCCTACGACGCACCCTTTACCGTGCAGCAGCGCGTACTCAAATACCTCGGTAGGCGAGAGTGACGTCTCGAACAGGGCACTCCAGAATGTGTCTCCCATGGCTTCGATGGAGATACCGCACTCGGGCCCGAGCAACATATCGATTGCCTCGGCTGGTGCTCGCCTCTGAGTGATTGCAGCCACAAAAGTGGACTCGACCATCTTTATTCCCGCGGAATGTAAACTCCAGAGCAATGACTGCAGTTCGCGTATTGAGCCTGTGCTCGCCGTCCATGCCACTAACTCATCAGCCGCCGAAGAGTCTGGCGGTAGGTCGTAGAACAAAAGGAAATGTCGATGCCAATGTAATGCTTCGAGGAACTGCTCATTACTGCACAGGTACCGGATCACTCCCTCATATGCCCTCGGGTTCGATACCGTCGCATGAATCTTTCGCCCACAATCCTGTCCCAGTTTATCCGGCTGCATTTCAGTCGCCCTCGCAAAAAGTCTGGCCCACGACCGTGATGTGAATGTGGGAAACAGTCGCCAATGCCAGGCCAGTGTTCTCGGTGACAGATTGACGAGATGATGCAGGATAATCTGATCGTACAGCCGTGACCACTGTCTTAACCCGTTCGTCCGCTCCGAGAGGTCATGCGCGTAATCAATCAGCTCCTCCAAAAACGCGTCATCCTTCAACGCCGTTTCCAAGAATATTCCCCACAAAATATCGGAATCTCTTCCCAGCGTTGGTAGATCAACCTCCCGCATCCGCATCCCCTTCCACATATCCATCACGCCACGCTCCCGATACACCCGCTTTCTAAACACAAGTAGACTCTCCCACAGCTCCCAATTCCTCCTGTAATCGGGTTGGTCGACGAGGAGATGGGTACTGGGCGCCGTTACATCGGATTCCCGCCGTAGCCATTCAAAGCTATCCTGCACCCTCTCCCGTAGCTTCCCTGGCAGCTCGGGCGATAACCGCATCGTGTCCTCCACAAACTCCGAGAGTGGCCGCAACCCCAGCCGGGCTCTAGTTGGCTTCGCATCCTCAGTCTGCCCTTGATGTGGCCGCTTCTTCGGTCTCTGCGTCGCACCGTCCCAAACAACCCCCAGCTCCTCAAACTCGTGGGAAAGCGTGTGCGTACCCCTCCGTCCGGGTTTCCTTCGCTGCTGCTGTGTCGTCGACAGATGAGTAGAGGTGGATGATTCGGTGGAGATATGCCGGCGGCAGTCGGCACATACCCAGCCACTCCCCCACCCCATCAGGGCCAATGTCATCGTAGGGCTGCGGTGGTAGCGGACGGCGACAGAGTTCGAGACGGCGACAGGGGACGACGGGGGCGGCAGCAGGAGATGCCGGGCAGCGACAAGGCTCTGCACGGTGCGACGCATAAACGGGATAACAGAAAGTGCTCCGGAGGACTGCGGATCGTTGGATTCATGTGGTGCCCTTTTTTTGCTTCTGAGGGGATCGATTCGTGGATTCCGGTTTCCTTAGTATTCTAGAAGTAACGGCGGGAGGGCATTATCGTCAATCTCTCTGCAAGAATACATCAATTCATCCTAGACGATACAGTCGACGTGGTTGGTTTGAGCAGGCCGGTCGGGGACGGAGTTGGGTGTTCTTCTTTTCCTTCCCTTGCCCCACTAAACTAACGGCTCGGTGTGCTACACAGAAATTTAGTTCTGGCTGAAACGGGCCAATCCGCTGACTCATCCTTGAGCCGCCAACTTTGCTTGCCGACCAACAAACACCTCCGCCCTCACGACGCGAGACAGCCCGCACTTCGCCCACAGCGCACCACCATGTTCGGCGCATTCAAACCTTCACAGCCCCTCCTCGGCGGTCTCCTCTGGTACTACTTTCCATATCGCCTCGGTGTCCTCGGTCCGTAGCTAACATGTGCCGCAGGAAAATCCCATGGCGCATGTCAGCCCCGCAGAAATATCGCCACCGGCAACGCATGCGACGAGTCGACCGGATCGTGGATTGTGTCGACAACGCACTGAAGAAGCAGGGTGTCACCATTGAGGCGGTGGAACGATGGAAGGCTGAGATGCCGACCGAGGCCGAGATGGAGCCCAAGGACAAGTACACAATCTTTGCGCGCAATGAGCGAGGGTACCGGAAGGGGTTGCACAGTGGGTTCTCCTCTTGGGATGTTGGTAGAAGTGTGGAGGCTAATGATGTGAACAGAGGTACCAAAATGGACGAGGGTCAGCCAGCGGGTCAATCCCCCGGGTTTCTAGAGTGGGAGGGCAAAACATGGGGAGAAAGGCGCGTGTATATTATGCGTACTTTACACTAAAAATGTCGATTCACCGAACCATAGGTGCTACCAGAGATGCAGCACGAACGAAGCAAACAAACTACGACCCATGTACATACAATTCCCCAAACTGCCCAAAGTACAAAGACCAAACGGCATCCAGCCATATCAAAACATTTCTCCCGCCCTCCATCCCACGCCCTAGAAACCGTCGCAAAGCAAGCACAAAACGCAAGACAAAACCCAATCAATCCACTACAATGACGGGCTGCTACAAATATCCCAATCCGAGTCTAAAAGATCTACTCCCACATGCCGTGGAGTAGGAACTAGTATAGGCATCGAAGCAGCAAAAACTTCCATAGATTTCGAAGCATCAGGAACCAGAATAATGCTCGAAGTAGCAAAACCCTGATCCGCCCAATCCTATCTGGGCTGGATCTTCACCACTTCGGCTTCTGCATCCTCCCACGATTCCTGACAGCGCTTCGCCCACTCGATCTGCACCTTTGCGTATTCCCTCATGACATGCTTCATATCCTTGACCTTTTCCGATTGAAACCGCCTGAGGTCCTTTAATACCGCTCTACCGGCCTCCTCCACATCCTTCTCCACCGCTTTCTCTGCCCCTTCCAGCTGCACTATTAACTCGCGTGTTTTGCCGATATTGTCTCGCCGAGTCCGTTCCGGATCGACATCGACAATCCCGTGAATGGCATAGTTCAGCTTCCCGAAACCTTTAGCAAAGATATTAGAGGAGGTGCTGGGCGCCGCCGAGTACGAGTTGCTCTTCTTATGACCAGCTGCTGAAGTCGGAGAGCGTCCAGCAGTGGACTTTCTGCGTGGCCGGGTATTCTCGTGCGTCGGCGGGAATTCGGAAGATTCATCAGCGGAATCGAGCGACTCGATTTCGGGATCTCTCCCACCGCTGCTATCCCGATCACTAGATGTCCTAGGAGAGCCGTGAGAGCTACCACCGTGAAGATATTGCTCGATTCTCTTGGCCTCTTTCTCAGATTTCTCCAGACTCTCAAGCAGTGACCGTTTCTGCGAAAGCGTGTCTCGCGTCATATCTTCCTGTATACGCTTCAGAACTCGGTACCTCAGCACCTTCTGGACAACACCGGCAAACTGTGCACTCTCGCGCAGAGGCTCGGCGAAGCTACTTCCGAGAACAGTCGAGAGCTGTTCGGTCGCAATGTACGTGCTATCCACCGCCTGTCCAACCTTCTCGATGGCAGTTACTAGGTCTCCAGATTCCGAGAGTGACCACGCGTTATATCTCGCGCCAAGCTCATTGTAATCCAAGGACAATTCTTGCAGTCGCTTCAGGATGCGACGGTTCACACGCTCGATTGATCCAGTAAGCAGGGCTTCATAAGCCCTGGTAGAGGCCTCGTAGTTGTTAAAGTACGGGTCGAGCTCGGATTCCGCGAGATTATGATTCAGCGGTGGGAAGCGGCCAAAGTTTCCAGGAGGGTTGCCGTGAGAAGTCGACGGAGGACTATTGTTGGGCTTGAGTTTGGCTGAGGCGGATGGTATGGGGAGAAACTGATGCGCATGCGATGGTTCCGAGGGGTTAAGAGGTGGAGCACGGAGGTGGTGCTTGGGGAGTGTTGAAATCGGCGGCGACATAATCACTTCACTCTGCAATACTCTTAGCGCTCTTCGTACCATTCAAGCGGGAAAAGCAGTACATACCCAGCTCGCATTAGGGTCCAAGAAGCGTTGAAATACACTATCATATCGAATCTCTTTCATCCGAGCGCATCGCTGCAGGAAAACCCCCAGCATCCGTTTGCGATGATCGATGATGTTGACGTTCTCCTTCGCGCTGGTAGGCGCCGCGACGTAATCCGAAACCTGATGCTTCTCCGGAATTGGCGGGACAATAAGGCAAGGATGTAGAAGCGACAGGTTTTTTCGCAGAGACTCGAACTCTGAGTATCGCCGGCGAACTTCAAGGTCCTATGTCCCATCAGCGTCTATAGTCAAGCTCGTTCAGAGCTTCGGGAAGCTATCGCGAAAGCATTGCAGATCCTCACCCCTGTGCAGATAGTATAGACGATGAACCCTCCACTGCCCTCGTGATTTTTCCCCGCGTCGGCGATGACAATCGGCACGTTCTTGTCCTCGAGTAGCATCTGCTCAACGCGAGAGCTGTAACCCTTCTCCTTCCTCATCCGTCGGTACTCCTCATCCTCCTCGTCGTCAGAGTCGTCGGCAGGCTTCCGAGAATGCTCGGAAGGAGTGCGGTTGGCGCGAGTAATGAAGTTGTGCGGTCCATGGTCGTCGTTGGAGTCGCGGGAAGCCGGGGGAGATGGATCTTCATCGTACGCCGGGAAGTGCGACTCCGTAGGCGACTCATCATATGAGAGAGGGTTGTTGTCTTCCCACATGACGATTGGCAACTACTAGGAAGTATGTAGTTCACGAAAAAAGAATTAGGGGGTAATTCGATGAGGTGAGGCGGCTGTGACGAGTCGGCTTGCGAGGGGGTGTGGTGGGAATGGTGCTGAGCTGAGCTTGTTCTTGTCGGTTGGTTAGGTGGGGCAGTGACGCCAGCAGTGGCTGTGGCTGGTGATGACACTAGCGTAGTCACACATACAGTGTGGCGCAATTTTCATTCGAGCATATCGGAGCAGCGGCCGGCAGTCGCACGGTATGCACGGCTCGGTATCACTTTTGGCTGTCATTCAAGAACATTGAAAGATAATTCTGTATACTTTACCATACTTCCCTCCGATGTTTAGCCCGTGCACATAAAGTTGCCAGCGATTGCTGCTGGCACCTAATCTTTAACGTATTTACTTATATCCGCCCAATTCTGCAACCAAACAACTGAATTTCAACCACCAATAACCCGCTCAGCAGCAAGAAGCGACGTTTCTGAAATGATGCCAAAATTGACTGTTCCAGCTCTCGATTCGCTCTGGTGGTCGATCCTTGGGAGTTGAATCTAGAACTCGAGGCAAAGTGATATAGCGGTACTTGTGCTGTGGGCTAAAAGACAGCCGCGTAGCGAAGCCGACTGTCACAGTATAAGCTTGACACAACAGAGTATTATGAATATATTTTGTTCGACACTTCACAATTCACGGTACCATGGCCAACCGCAACCATCTGGTTCTTTGAACGACAAAACATTCAGGTTGCGGAAAACATCGAACTAACACCTGAATAAGGATCACCTGGCAGCCTAAGATTATGAAATATGTGCCGCAATTTCCTGGGATAAGGGCATGCTGGTTCGTGGGCATTTCCTCAATCGCCGAATCGTGAAACCAAATGAACGAGCCGGTTATGTCCTAAATAATTACATTTTGCTCTCATATGTATTACTATTATCACATCAGCCCGAGGCTTTAACAAAGCAATCGGCTACATAGCTTATTTTCCTGTCGTTGAGTGTCGAAGAAAATAGCTTGAAGTTACACGAACGCACCGACTCTCGAGTGACAGTCTATGCATGGCCTCCGTCTTAATTGGGCGGCCGTTGGAGTGAATAATGATAAAAACGCTAGCGTGTTGAGCTTCGCCGCACAACTAGCCAAGATGTGCACTCATCTTCTTCTACCTCTCCCCCTCCTCCTCCTCCTCCTTCTTCTTCTCCTCTTCACTCTCCACCACACAACCGACTCTAATTTCTCCGGTTCAGACATCCCACAACTTCGACCCTTCACGTCTTAGTACAACACACTTCGACCGCTCTTAACCATGACTTCTTGCGTCAATAAACTCCTCAAGGTTCAGCCAAAACGTCCTCCTCAACGTAGGCCTTTTGCAACGCAGGTTCGTATCTAGCCGCCTCAGTCATGAGATTGCCTTCTCTTACTAACACTCATAAGCCACTCGAGCAGCAGCAGGAGCAAGTCCAGCCGCAAACACCAGAGCAGCAGCATCTCAAGTATCTCCTGCAACTGCGGGAGCAAGTCCAGCAATTCGAGCAGCAGCAATATCTGCTGACACCCAAGCTGATATCAAAGATGCAGCAAAAAGTGGAGATGCTACTAAAGCTGCAGGATGAAATCGAGGAGCAGCAACTCGAGCAGTATCAACGCGAGCAGCAGCAACTCAAGCAGCTCCAGCAAACACAGCGGTGGCCGCCTCAAGGACCTGGACCCAGAGTCATGACTCAGCCAAAGCCTCCTCGTCAACGTGCGCCACAGGCCACGCAGGTTCGTACCCAGTAACCTCAGTCATGAGATTGGCTTCTTGCTAATACTCGTCAGCAGCAGCAGCAGCAGCAGCAGCAAGTCCAGCAACTCCAGGAGCAGCGAAAACTCCAGGAGCAGCGAAAACTCCAGGAGCATCAGCGACCCCAGCAGGAATCACAGATTCAGCAGCATCAAGGACCCATCAAGGCTCAGCCAAAGTCTCCTCAGCAACAATCGCCACGTTGGATGAAGGTTCGTACCCAGCAACCTCAATCATGAGATTGACTTCTTGCTAACTCTTTTCCGTAGCTCCAGAAGCAGCAGGAGCAAGTCCGTCAGCAAGTCGAGCTGGAGCTTCTGATGCAGCGACAACTCCAGGAGCAGCAGCGCCTCCAGCAGCAGCAGAGACTCCAGCAGCAGCAATCACAGCAGCAGCAACCACAGCGGCGGCAGCATCAAGGACCCATCAAGGCTCCGCCAAAGTCTCCACGTAAACGTGCGCCCCAGGCCACGCAGGTTCGTACCCAGTCGCCTCAGTCAGGAGATTGACATCTTACTAACCCTCGTTAGGAACTCGAGCAGCAACGGCAGCTAGTCCAGGAGCAAGTCGGACAGCATCGACAACACCAGGAGCAGCAGCGAATCCAGCAGCAGCAGAGACTCCAGCCGCAATCACAGCAGCAGCAACCACAGCATCAGCAGCATCAAGGACCCCTCAAGGCTCAGCCAACGCCTCCTCTTCAACGTGCGCCCCAGGCCACGCAGGTTCGTACCCAGTCGCCCCAGTCATGAGATTGGTGTCGTACCAATCCTCACTAGCAATTCCAGCAGCAGCAGCAGCAGCAGCAGCAGATCTGGGAGATGCAGGAAGACCAGCGGAAACTCCAGCAGCAACTACAGCAGCAGCAGCACCACATCCAGCAGCAATTCCAGGAGCATCAGCCATTCCACGAGCAGCAGCCATTCCAGGTGCTGCAGGAAATCCAGCGACAACTACAGCAGCAGTGGAAAGTCCAGCAGCAACTACAGCTGCTGCTGCAGTACGCCATACAGCATCTCGAGCAGCAGCAACTCGAGCCGCAGCAGCAATTCCAGGTGCTGCAGGAAGTCGAGCGGCAACTACAGCAGCAGGGGAAAGTCCAGCAGCAACTACAGCAGCAGCAGCAGTACGTCCAGCAGGAACTCGAGCAGCAGCAACTCTAGCCGCAGAAGCAATTCCAGCAGCAACTGCAGCGGCTGCAGCAGCAATCCCAGCAGCAGCAACTCCAGGAGCAAGTCCAGTGGCAACTTCAGCAGCAGCAACAACTCCAGCAGCAGCAATCACAGCAGCAGCAGCAAATACACTACCAGCAGATGTTGGCGGAGCTGGCGCGCCAGGAGCAGCAGAGGCTTAAATTTGTGCAGCAGCAGCAGCTGGAGATGCGAGCCACTGCCGAGCAGAGGCAGGTGGAGCTCGCTGATCAGGAAACTCTTGTTGCCGCGCAACAAGAGGTCGAAGCGCTTCGCACGGCCATGAAACACCAGCAGCAGGTGATCCGCGAGCAAGAGCAGCAATTCTTGTTCGCCCGAGAGCAGCAATTGCTCGAGGATCGCCATGCACAGGAGTTTGGCCGTGCGAAGGCGCAGGCTAGGGCGTTGGAGCGGCAGATACGTGCCGAGGAGGTCCGCCAGGCCAGAGCGGGGGCATTTGCCGAAGCCAAATGCCTTTCGCTGGCTGAAGTACACAAGCGGTACTTGAGCCAGGCTGGCGGACCGACTCCCGTGAAGGGGACGGCTCAGCCGGTCCAACGCCCTCCCTCTCTCCCTCGTCCCCAGAATGCCCGCCCAAGGCTCTCTCGTCCTCCGCCTCCTTTTTTCGTTGGCGAGGGTGGGGATGCCCTCTTGAAGAACTTTCGAGAGCGGCATCCCCGCTGGGAGAGTCGTGGTGAGGGTATGGTGGCGACTAGGGGTAAGAGAGGACGGGAGGAAGAGCCTGCAGGGGGAGTTGAGGTGGACGAGCAATCGTCCACCAAGAGACTCAAGGTGGGGGAGGTGAGCCTGTCGGTAGATTTGTGTTTGTGGGCCGGGGCCGGTTTGTCGCTTGCGGCTCATTGGGCTGGCCTCATTTGAGGCCAGTCCAATGAGGGGGCGGGGGTAGAGGGCGGGAGAGGGGGAGAGGGACGTTTGTCCTTGATAATGGCATACAAAAGTTTTTTCCTGTTACGCAGCATGTTCTTTGTGGTGGCCCATCATAATGTGATCGTAGACCTAGTGCCTGTGTAGATGGCAAGGCGTTTGCAGGTCTGGTAACATCGTCGATTCTTAATCTTTTATTACCTGTAGCTCAGCAAAACTATGGTAAGATATGCACCCATCATAATCCCGCCTACAGTCTAGATGTGTACATAATTGGCTCGATGTAGCACCCCCGCCTCCCTCGTCATCCGCCTGGTCACCGCAACTATATAGGTAGAGCGCACCAACTACCTGACAGCGACAGACTTGGTGAAATCCACCCGCCCCCCGCCCGCCACTGGTCGGCCAGACTCTCCGCTTCCTCCTCCACCTCCGTATCCAGCCGGCTCAGGATCCCACCGATATCCCAGACCAGCGCGTACCGCAGGACTATGTTCTCCTTCTTATCATCCTCTGCGGGTACTAACTAGCCTGTCAAAATCGGTGTTTTGCAGGAAGTCCAGTAAGATCTGCGAAGAGGGCTCCGATTCTCCTGCGGTGCGTCTTCGATCACGCATCCGACCTCCTGTCACCGAATGTACTTTCTACTCCGCTCGCCGTAGTTAACATTGCAGATTCCACCCACACAGAATACCTAGCGCAAACCGATACGAAACAAGTGCGTTGTCATGAGTCCGACATAGTGTTTAGTCAGTTAACGGTAGATACTGGACAAGTTCACCGCGTCGCTGGTTACTGGGCTAGCAGATGGTGAAGCGAACAAGCCGCGAGACGCCGGAGCCGTAAGATTCATCCGACAATCATGGTTGGTCAAAAATGCCCAGATCAATTTGTGGGATTTGCTCTTCGGCACATGCATCCTCAGGTACTGATTTCAGCGGGCAAGAAAGTTCACATCAAAAGTCCTCTGCCCAAAAACCATAGAGCGGAGAGCTTCATTGGCGTTGGCCAGTCAGTCTAAATCTGACTCGACAGGCGAGAGTATTCTTTCACTCAACGCATCATATGTCTAGTGACTCGAGTAGGTACCTAGCTCAAGGCCGCAAACACTGACAGCGCCAAATATC